CCCCTACTGATGTATAGTATAAGGTGTCCTCTCCCCCCCCCCACTGATGCACAATAAGGTGCCCTCTGGTCTCCCTACTGATGTACAATATAAGGTGTCCTCTGGTCCCTCTACTTATGTACAGTACAATATTAGGTTACCTGTAGTCTCCCTACTGATGTACATTATAGGGTGACCTCTGGTCCCCCAAATGATGTACGATAAAAGGTATCCCCAGGTCCCCCTATTATGTGCAATAAAAGATTACCTTCTGACCCCTATTGATTTAAAATGAAAGGTGACCTATGATCCCTCTGATGCTGTACAATATAAGGTGACAACTGGTCTCCCTAATGATATTAAATATAAGGTGGCCTCTGGTCCCCCTACTGATGTACAATGTAAGGTGATCTTTGGTCCCCCTATTGATGTAAAATATTAGGTTACCTCTGGTCACCCTTTATTATTTTCACGTTTTTGCTAATATATATATTAGAAAGTTGATCTTTATAAAGTTATAAATATGATTATTTTGGAATAAGACAAAGAAAATTGTCTATCATATAAAATTCAATTAATATATAAGGTGACCTGAAGTCTCCGTATTGATGATATCGACGAATTTACTTTTGTGCCTTTAATGCCTGGAGAGTTTCTAGAATGTTTTATTACTACGCAAAATGACGAACTATTTGCGGGGGACCCCAGGTCCTAGTTCAGCGTACGTTTTATCCTTCTGCACTCCGAATATTAATGTGACACAATTGAAACCCAACTCGGAGAAGCTCAACATTCCGGATTTAACACTCAGTATATGACTTTTTTGATAACCATTTATAAAACTAAGGCGCCGTTTTCAATGTGAATTTTGCAAGTAATATACCACAAAGATAACAAAGTATGAGTTAAGAATAAAATAATTAACATTTGCGTTAATTAGATAAAGTTAGAGAGGTCCGAAAAAGGGGCCGCTGCACTATGCTTAAGTGGAAACATTCTTTCAAATATTGAAGTGGCGCAGTGGTTAGTGTATCTGCTTTAGACTCGCGGAGTATTCGACTGTTTGACGTGGAGACTGGTCCTTCAAATGGGATAATTTCAATATCGCAGTAGTATCGAAAATTGCTTAATGGACCCGAGTCACAGGCATTTGTCAAAACTTGTAGCACTCCATCGGTAAGTTGTAGCATCTCCATCCATGAGATGAAATATTCTAGAGAGGGATGTTAAACAACAGCACCAACAAACACATAATTGAAAACTCTGCTACATATATATAATTGGCCATCAACATTTGACCTGTATACTTACTTTGAAGGTAAGATGTTTTGCAGAGATTCAGAGCAAAATCCTGTCGTCTTTTGTACTGGAGGAAGCCATAATCTTTTTCTTTACAAGAAAAAAAAATTAAATTCTTATCATTTGTAGTCTTAGAAAAAAAATCGAAGGATAATATACTAATATTTTGGCATTTGCAAATATTTCACAAAGATGAATTTATTTGAGGGAAAATGTGTTAAGGGTTCATGGGCCATATACTGACTGAATCTCACGGCGATATGATATCTAGCCTATACGAGGGTTGTCCTAAAATTCCGTAGACAAGCGTTGTTTTGTAGGAACCCTATGTCATACATTAATGAAACTTCGTATATAAATTTAACCAACAATATTTAATAAATTTATGGACAAATATGGAGTAACTACAAAAATTGTTCCACTTTAAAAGACACATTTCATTGTCTGGTGTAGGAAGGCGCAATACCCAAAAATTGCAATTAATGTTTGGTATATTATATTTAAAATACTACGAAAAAGTGATTACTATCTTCTATTTTTTGAATGGAAGTAAAAATTCTAAATATTGTTTCTTTAACTATATTTCCTTAAATTTTGGTGTTTCTGCTTTGATAAATATTAATTTCATAACGTTTTATTTTCATGGGGTTGAGATCTGACTTTTTAAAAAATGGCGGCTGCGTTGATACAGGCGGCGCACTGGACTATGTTCAAGTGTTTCGATCCTGAATTCACTCTTACAGAAATGTACAAGTCATAAATACTTGGTAGATTAAGAAACTTTTCTCGTCCTTAGTATTTAAAATGACTAAAACGGTTTCTCTATGTATGTGTGAATAACAGTACCTAGAATAAAAGATAGAAATAAGAAATGAGCAAGAGTTCCATTGTGCAACTCCATTACAGAAAACAGACGAAAAGCCCAAAAATAATAGCGTTTTCAAATAACTATTATTTAATACCTGTACATGAATATACTCTGTTTACATATTTTACTGTTTGATCACATCTTAGTAATTAAGATATTTCACACTTATCAGTATAATCGTTTCGTGTAATTTAAGAATTTGATTCTGGTAATTGAAATTTTTCCTTTAAAAAATTGAACCGTTGAAATGTATTTTTTGACGTTGCAGATTGCTCCGTGTGTTAAGGAACGATATCACTTTAAATCTTCTAACTCGAAAAGTTTTCAAGTAAACATGATAAAACTTCGAAATTTATCTGCGAAGAACACGCTTTATCCATCCTGAAAATTTTATTAAGATACATTAATTTCTTTAAAAGATATGAGCTCAGTCTACGAAATTTTGGGACAACCCTCGTACATATTTCTTTCACAGTGGAACTGGTTTCGTTAGGTCTAGTTTGATGGCGATAATAAAAATAACTTAAATAAAACATAAGTTTTTTTCAATCAGCAAATATCCATTATGTCTACCTTTGGGTTAACTATGGTTTGAACGATAGTATTAAAATTACATCAATCATTTTAACCACAATTCCTATTTCGTATGTAAACTGAAACAGAAGATTACAAAAAATTTCAATCAAAATATTTAAGAACATTGTTAAACAGTACATCATTCTCATTTTCCTAGCTTTATTCACAAGGATATTCTGAGCATGATCGCAAAACATTTAATGTAAACATTCAAATATTTATAGAAGACAAGCTTCCAAGTTATTCCAGTTCTCGGTTACTGCGATTCAGACATAGTGAGTCTAAGCTAGGGCTGTATATTTACTTTTATTGATATTTTGGTCTTAAATGTCAATGTAAGAACAAAATGACAAAGTTAAAAAGTTCACCGGGAAAAAACATTGTTGGTATCTGATCCAATCTACTAAAAAGTATATGTTCGTGTTGCCGACTACGTTCATTTCACAGTGAACACTTGAAATCTTGTAAATTGTACCAAATTACTTCCATTTCGGTTTTATGATGAATGCTGAGGTTGAATTTGGAAACAGTGGTATTGAGAAAGATAAAATGATGTTTTAAAATGAAACAATTTTAGGTTTTGATAACAGAGCCCGTAGAAATATTTATAATAAAACTGTCTAAGCGATATGTACATAAACCCTTAAAAAGTACTGTGAAATTAATTAGACAATTTTGAACAAAGAAGTAAATTAACTTAATGCTATAAAGATTCTGTAAACATTATCTAATGATGTTCGATAGAACTTTGCCAATTATTGCCCTGGGATTTATACCTTTAAGTGTTTGTATTTGTATTAATTTCTTAATCATATTTCACTTAAAGGAGAAAATAAATAAATTTAAATAAGGGTGATGAATGAAGATTTCTGTCTGACAAGTAGGATACACATATATTCTAGTGCCTTAGAACTTGAATAATGTTTTGTACTTTTTTGTTCTTTAAGTCCTTCTTCATGGATATATTTGTTGTACATGGCGTCGTCTTGATGGTATTTGTCTGTGGTTATTGTGATCTCTTTATTTGCATTCCAATTTTCTGATATATCTGGATCATTTTCAAGGCCAACGTGCTCTAAAACACCATTACAAGAGTAAATTATAAAACATTTATATTCTTCAAAATTTAAAATCAAAGTCTAATCATTGTTAAACAATACTGTATTAGTCAATATGGATGCACAAATAAAAATACTAATAGTTTGTTATACTTCACCATCAGACATTGTTATTTTCCTCTTTCTGTTTGTGTGTTCTTGATTGACATTATGCAACGGCAGCATCTCCCCGCCATACTCATTAGATGCTTAGAAAAAAACCATGTAACTAGTAAAAAACTAGGTACAAGCTCATCTTGCAACAATATTTACAGATACCCCTTATATTCTGTATAAAGAAAATACAGGACAAATTTAAAGTATTTACTATTAAGCAATGATTCTTTTTCAAAGATGTTGACATTATCATTATTTCCAGAATGTTTTCTTCTGAAGAATGTTTTGCACCGCTTTCTTTTCCACATAATCGTTGCAATTCCAGAAATGATCCCTAGAATGGTAACCGAGGGGACCAACACTGGCACCAAATGTATCCCTTCCTGCACTTGTATAGTGTGATCCTGAGAAATAATTGTTTGGGATGTGGATACCTCTTTACTTTCCATTGTTGTAGCTCTAAAGGGAAAGAAGCCCAGTGTACAAAAATTATAAAATCCGCATTGTTGCAAAACCGCGCACTTGTACTATTAAAATTCTTTTGATTCATTAATATGGTGTTCAAATAAAATGCAGAGTTACCGATTCTTCAGACAAATTTCCTCAGACAGAAAGCATTTCAAAACGGGCTTAATACGAAAGCAACTAGGGTCTGTAATGAACATTAAAAACACTAAATAACAGAAACGAAAATAAGGGAAAATGTAAACAAAAGATACAGAAAAACGTTCACCAATGAGAGAGAGAGAGAGAGAGAGAGAGAGAGAGAGAGAGAGAGAGAGAGAGAGAGAGAGAGAGAGAGATTATCCAACATTACATGAGATCATACTGAAAGTATTAATGAAAGTTAGAACACGAAAGTTAATAAAAAAAAAAACTTACAGTTATATAGCTCGTCCGTGAAATAATGTTTATCTGGGCATCCATAAGTAAAATGAAGACAGGTATAATTATCCAAGAAAAAAGAAGAATCAAAAATAACACACTGGCCTGTAATACCAAAAACATTTAATGCATTATTTTTCAGTTTGTTTGCCTATTTAGTTATCAGACAAATTAAAACAACTTTATCTTACAATCCAAATACATGTTATATGAATGAATCTCAAAAGGATAAACTGTAATGATTTGCTAATTTTTTCTATTGATATATAAATTAGAAGGTTACAGATGCATTGCATTTATGCTTATTGAACAA